CATCAAAAATGAAAAACTGCAAAAGATGCCATGAATCAGGTCCAAATATGATGCGAGACCAGGAGATCTCACAATACTTGCAGTGGATGGAGGGAAAGCTCCACACCGCACGGAGAGACAATAAATCCGCATGAAAGACTGAAACCAATATTTAAAATATGGGGACCTTTGAGAAAGTGGAGGAAATTGTTGGGCTTCACCATTTTGTTTTTGCCCTGCAGAAAATAGACTTTGTCCGTTGAGGATATGTTTCCGTCGCTCTTCTGTACAAGTGTGCCGGCTACCAGAAACCCCGTTGCACCGGCATGACTTTATGTGGACTGTGGGTTGCAGAACTTAATTAAATATCTTTATGCGCCGTGGCCTGGTTACCATAAGTGGCCCCTGATAAGCATGCAGATTGGATCCCAGGGATGCACGGACTGGATAAACACAGTCTCACAGTCGCACAACTGGATGGGGGCCTAGACTCGAATTGACGTGAGGATTAAGCAGGTCTTTACTCAGAGACATGAGGTGAGATCACCCCCTTTGGAGACCCCAAAGATCTAGTGACTATACAATCAGACTCAGCTTGACCCCAGGATGACAATAGATGTCACCCAGGACGGCTACAGCTCCAGTGTCAGAGCCAAGGCCAAAATCTGTTCCAAGGCAAATTCAGTCACTGTGAAGGCAATGACAACTCACTGGGATAGTCACCTGAAAATGGCTCAGGAAAGTGTGTGGCAGATGCCACCAGCATCACCTGGTGGGGACTGGAAGGGTCAGCAGGAAGAGGCACAGGGCCACCGCCACCACTGACCCCTGCCCCACCCCATCTCTCCATCGCGTGGGGAGGTGTGTGTGGCTCTGAGATGCTGGACATTAGGAGTTGTGTGTTCCAGAGCAGGGACCCACCTCCACCTGCCTGTTGTCCCTTTGTAGAAGGACACTGGGAATTGGTAGGAAGCTTCCAACTGAGCACGTGACAATGGGGACATTAGAGGTCATCCCAGCAGCTAGCAGAGACAGGCACCTCAGGCGGCACAGCACAGGGAATTGCCCTCCACGCTGACCTCAGGGGTGACATCACGGGAACGGGTCTCAGCCCCTCGTTGCCAGGCTGCCAGCATCACTCACTGGACAGTCCTCTTGGTCTCTCCTCAGGGGGGAAAATCGGGCCCTGACTCAGTTATCAGTTGCAAACTCAGGAAGGTTCAGAACTAAGGATAAAGATGACAAATAAAATCAGCCCATCATTTTAATACTTTTATGTTGAAGTCAAGACAAATATGTGTTCATTTCCGTGTACTGCTAATGTTGAAGAGAAGCGGCCGCATCCTCAGTGATAACATCAGATTTCGGATTCTAACTTACAACAGGGAATGGAGTAACTGATTTGGATGAGTGACTTTAAACTGAAAGGCACTCAGCTAGTTACTAGGATGGTGTAAATGAGCTTTTCCCAGAGAGAAGAGCCTCAAGGTCATCAGACCCCAAACCAGGAGGGCGAGGGGTGGGGGTTGGTGGAGAGGAGGCTGTGACAGCCACACCAGCGGGCATCTCCGGGACGTATGCAGGGGCGGCCACCAACCTGTATCCTCCTGGCAGTTAGGACACTGAAGAGTTCCTCGTCTGATGTCCCAATTGTGCCTAAACATGGCCTTAAAAATAACAGCATCCAGTCTCTGGGGCAAACAGTATGACAGCGCCTCAAACAATTAAATACAGAACTGCCATGTGAT